AGGACCCTGCTGGGGTAGAACAGATCTGTAGGGTTGGTGTGAAAACTGTTCCAGAGCAACATGAAAGAAACACCAATAGCTTAAAACAGAGCTATCACTAGGTGTTTGTCTTGCACTTTGGTGTTCTACAAAGCCAAAGGTCTGATTTTTCATTTGTTTCTTGGAGCTCAGTTTTAGTGCTGCCAGTATGAATTTTGGATTTTGTGGGTTTGCTTTAATGACCAGGCTAAAAAAACCTCACAAAACTACAGGGTCACATTATAATGGACCCTAGTGAGTTCTCTTGCCTAAGGCCTCATCTGCTGTCCCTCAAGAGAACTGAAAGGAGGAGCAGAGGTAATGACTCTGTGTCAGATGAAAACTGGAACCAGGAAGACACTCCCATTTGGTGAAACTTAAGGATGGAAACCTTGTGAACCTTGAGCCTGTGGAACTTTAGCTTCTCTTTTTGCCCTTAAGTGTCATGGGCTATCAGTAACAACCTTTTTTTTCCCCACAATAAACGTAGTATTTCTTCAGCAGAAGGGTGAAGCTGATGCGGAACGAAGATGTAAGCTCAGAAAACACCAACATAGAGGAAGGAAGTGATGTATTACTACAAAATCCACTTCTAAATAAGCAAAAAGCTTTAGAAGGTCGAATTCAGTATATTTTCTTTTTGCCATGAAACACACCAAGGTAAATGTGATCATGATGCAAAAACTGGATTCTTAAGCTAGAAATGTGCAATAAAAAAATTGGTACTGTGGCAATGTTTCTTCTTTAAAAGCAATGCCTTAGGAGGGGAAAAAAAGTACTTAAAAACTCATCAAAATCACTGTATCTAATACCTATGTCAACTAAATGAGTTTATTTCTGGAAGTTTTCCATTCGAGTAGCATAGACATCCTGTGTAAAACTTAGATTAAAAGGATTCTGATCCAAACAATGCCAAGAAAGTGCAGAAGTTTCTTTCAGGCCAGAACTGCAATCACCCTGTTACACAATCAAAAAGTGTCCAGAGAACAGAACTACTCCCCAGGGCTGGGGAGCAGCAGTGACTGCAGCACAGTCCTGGCTGAGCCCCCAGGCAGAGGGAAGTGATTCATAAGGACACACATGAAGTCATTTTGATTTTTTCAATGGCAAGGCAGGATTGTTTTTGCAAGGAAGGGAGTAGAATAAAACAGAGCTTAAAATGGAATCCATTGAGGTAAAGGAGACAGTTAAGTTAGACTTTCTAAGCAAAGGTCCCTTTGCCATGGCTGGGAAGAGGGACCAAATCCCACACAGAGCCTGTGCTGCTGCTGCTGCAGTAAAGCTCAGCTCTGAGTACAGAGCAGCTGGGTGGAACAGCTGAGGTCCCACTGCACAGAGAGGTTTGACTCTAAGAATTGTACATACCGTGATCATCTTTTTGTGTCCAACCCTCCAAAGGCTTGCTCTGTTTTCAAAACATTTTAAAAAAAGGCAAACAAACAGCAAATCAAACACAAACCCCAAAAAACCACCCCATCAAAAAAACCCAAACCCACTGTGTACTTTTATGACCTTATAGTACAATTTTCCTCGGTTTTTTTTCAGTGATAGTTAAGTCACAGGAAGGCTTTAGAGCTGAATGCAATTATATTTGCTGTTATACTTTCAGGGGGATAAATAACTGTCCTGAAGAAAGGAGAGCGAGACAGCAGGATAAATGCAATCATTGCGATGGAATTAGATTTTCTCTTTATTTTTGCCAAACAAGTAGGAAGCAATGCTTGCTTTGTTCTCTCTATGCGTCCAAAAAGTCAACAGAACCGTCCTACATTCCAGTGCCATATAGCTGCTGCACAGCTGGAATGTTGTGCCTGGGTAAAGGAATCCCTGCACAGAACACTGTTCACCAAGTGCCCTCTGCTGGCATTTTATTCCCCCCAAAAAAAAGTCTCTACTGTAGCCACAAACTCTAGGATAAAAACGGTAAGGCCGTCTCAATCCCCAACTCTCATTTCTGCTTTTAGAAGGAAAAAAAAGCAATGCTGTCAAACTGATGAACACTGCAACAACCCAGAGAGAAGCATTTCCTAAATGGGGCAGACAAAAACACACCTGAGAGGTAACAACTCCTCCCACAGCTCTGCAAGTTAACCCAGCACAGCACCAGAAAAGCAACACAGGCAGGAACACATTTATCACAACTCCCTTT